CGTGATACATATTTCCTTGATATCGCGTAAATGGAAACAGGGGTATTTAAGTGCACCTACTCTGGGAGTGATAGCTGCATGATGCAATAAGTGGGAAGCCCCACCTCCCAGTGCGTTTATGGTAATCCCCCAATATTCCCCCCATTTCAGTAGTAATGGCCTGGTGGCTCTCTGACCCTCCTCTGGCATGTCCAAGAAGGTTCCGGTTACAGAGGTCATAACCTCTCTCAGCAAATATACCCTGCCACCTAACCCAGGAGAAGCCTGTGTGCGCCACTGAGCATGGCACACTGAGCATGGCACACAGAGCACGGCACACTGAGCATGGCACACAGAGCACGGCACACAGAGCACGGCACACAGAGCACGGCACACTGACCATGGCACACTGAGCACGGCTCCCACACACCCAGCACAACTCAAGACTGTTAAACTGTTAGAGGAATTAAATGAAAATGCACAGGTTAAAGCAAATGTTTGCAGTTTTAAAGAGAATCTCCACTTGTTTTGCCATGTTTTAATAATTTCATATTTGTTCTTCCAAATATTATATTAAATCGGCCACTTATTGTCTTTGAAAATGATCAATCCAGAGGGGAGGGTAGTGAGAGATGGGAGAACAAAAAGAGGGACATAGCATTCTCTCTCACCGGTCAATTCATATTTTAATAGTTTAATATTTAAACTTCAAGTCTATTAGTCTACAAACCTAGGTCATTTGTTACACTCAATTAAGGGTTCATGATTAGGATTGTCCGGGAACCACATTCCCAAAGGTGTAAAGTGGGAAAGGAGAAAGCCAGTCCATATTCCCATAAAATCCTCAGCAGCTTACCACGACATTGGACAGCCCTCAGGCTGACCAGTGCCAGGTTTGCTTTGGTGTCATGATATCAAAATAAACACCACCCTCCCCCATCCTGAAAATCCAAGTACCCGAGACAAGCCGTATATCCATCTCAAATTCCAGCTGTAAAAATAGCTGGAGGCTCAGTAGGAGGGACACCCATCCACACCCCATTTAGCACTTATTTAACACCTAGCTCTGATGTAAACTGCTGTTCATACATCACACATGCCCTCTCAGCAGAAAAACTCTAATACTTACTAACTGAATGAGTACCGTAACGCAATTTCCTGCAAGGCCAAGCATCGTAAAACAGTATTTGACTGAATTACACAGTATCACAGTTTAATTTAGATGAAGCAGAACAACTACCCTGACACAGTACATGTGAATGAGGCAGAATGAATACTCTGGTACAGTTTACTGATTGAGTACACTGATATTATTATAGCAAAAAATGTTTAATCATTCACAGGAAGGTTCATATTTTTTTTTACATTCAATGTGCAACACGGGGAGATACTTCACAAGCAATGGACTCAAGTGTGAGCAGTCTGTGATTTACCGTTTAAACCTGAGTGATAACCTGAAAATAAAAAACCTGAATCTGCATGAGTGAAACTCAATGACCCATGTTGGCCAACAGGCGACATCCCCTGGGAAACCCTAGATGTGCCACAAGCTTCATACACACCCATACACAGGGATCTCCTGGGCTCTAGAGCCCACAGGGACCCACCTAGCTAGGACACCCTTTGGCCTGCTCCTGACCTTCATCCCATTGCTAAAATCAGCTCCTCCCGTCAGCACCACCCAACATCATGGCCAGAACGAGGCTAGCATTACCAGCACATACAATTGCACCAAAGAAGTTTATAGCATGCCAATGGAGCTGCTAGAGGTTTGGAGGCAGCTGCAGCCTGCAGAAATGGCGGTGGGGCTCTGCAGTCTACATAGGATCCTGGGAATGGTCCCAGGCCAGTAGATGGCCCATCAGACTTTGTGTGTGATTTCTATAACTCTGCTGTTAGATAAGAGAACATTCTAGATCTTCAATAATTATAACTAGAGATGTTCCCCGTGATGATTTTTGAAAAGCAGATAAATAATTAATGCAACAAACTCTCTTTTAAACCAAACCAATAAATTAAATCCCTGAAAGCACCTACACTGCAACGCTGCTCAGTCCAGGAATATTAAGTGCTGTGTTTATTATGAGATGCCACTCATGCACACACACAGGTGTTTGGCACAACACAGGCTTTTCAAACATAGCAGCAGAGCCAAAAGCATCTGAGCGACACCAGAAACTGGTCTCTGAGGGCATTTCCTGACATGTAGGCAACCTAAATAATGTGAGGGCGGCTGACGGATGGCCAAAGCTGTCCTGGCGAGGTGGCAGATTGGCAGGTCTATAAATAGCTGGTGATTTCTTTGCCAAGCCCTTGACAACTTCCACAGTAGCAACAAGGCATCCCCACATTTTCCAGAAGATTTAAATTCTTGGTCTCTTCCAAACTGCCACAGTCCATCACCCGAAGTCAACGGTACAGGAACCCATGACTGTCAGACCAAGAACATACTGCAGAGGGGAACCAGCAGCAGACCTAACAAGGGAACCATGAATGAGGTTCGTGTGGGGAGCACTGAGATCTTACCATGCATGCAAAAGGCAGTTGAAGCGAGGGTGGTTTTAGGCAGATAAGACTTATATGTAATCCAGGTGAACATAGATTGTTCTATCACAATTAGATCAAAGGTCACATGGGCAGCACACAAAAATGACGGGGTGCCTAAAATAAGAAGTTTGGTATAATATCTGTCCTGTAGGAGTAGGAGTAAAGATTACATTAAACTAATGATTGGAATAATTACCCAGCTAGATGACATGCTAGCATCTCAAATAGTCAAACCAGCCCAAGAAAAGTACTCATTTAATTCCAGGGCTCTGGTAGGCTGCCAAAAAGACATCATGAAGATTAAGACATCTTACATGACCATAACACTTGATATCTGTCAAGCTAAAATTTGACACAGATGCATTTGAAATACCATTAAGATGAAATCCCTCATTTGAAAGATGAGACATGAAAAGGTCACTCCCCTTCCCCCTAGGGAAAACCCGAATATCTGCAGGTCATCGCAGTAAACTATAGACAAAAGAATTTCCGTAGAAAGAAGTTCTTGGCGTTCTCAGTTCTCAGCTGAGGTAGATAACACATAACATTTAATGATGCTTAACAATCTTCAGCAAAGAGGTCAACATACACATTGAACACAGGACCTGTGTAAGGTGATGGAAGGGAACTGGTGCCCAGATTACAATCCAGCATGCCCAGCAATACCACTGTGTCAGCCCGGTTCTGTCCAGGTAATGGAAAGGTACTGTTTATGCAGATTTATAACGTGGGTGAACTCTTTCCAAAGGAGCTAGAGACCCACCCCATAATGGTAGTTTTCCTGGTTGTACAATGAGGCCGTCTCATATATAGGTTAGTAGTCAAACAATAGGGTTTAATAGTAAGCATCATCCATTCTTCTGCAACATTGAGACAGATGATATAGAAGAGGCAGCCAAAGCCAGCATTAGTCATCACCACCAAATGAAGACATCTCATTGAAAAATTCCCCCAAGTGCAATTTGATTTTGCCAGCATGTGTTCTCTGATGCAAATGCAGAATTTTCCAAAAAAAAGTAAAGCATCAGCACCATCTGATTACATAACTCATAGAATTCAACTAGATAGTGGTAGCAAGCCTAATCTGCAGGTGGTAAATCTGTTTTCTATTCATGCAAGGTTGTCCCCACATTGACCATTCTTATGCTATCTGGACAAGCTCTGAACCCCCGCAACCCTGCAAAGGACAAGCGGATAGGGATGATCTGTGTGGTGGATGGATGGATGATCTGTGTGATCTCTTTTAATGGTCACAAATGGATATGTTAAATCGCAGCACTTTAACAACAGGGATGCAGAAGCAAAACCCCACCCCCCAAACCATGCCCCACCACTGCCATTGGTTAAGCTAGCATTATCTGTATCAGCTTTGACACCTTGCTGAAAAACACTTCCGTAACAGTCAACCTCAAAACAATGACCGTTTGTCACATTATTTTTAGAGGCTGCTGGTTTGTATGGTGTCCCACAACAGCACCTGCCAGAGCAGTGATTGACTGGGCTGTCTGTGGTGGTGGTGATGATGGTGGGGGGGGGGGCTAGCACCTGTATTCTCTACTCTGCAGACCTGGCTTGGGACAGACCTAGCAGATACTGCCCTCAGCAGCCCCCTGGGCACAAGGCATTCCGAGATGGCCTCAGGAAATGCATTGTCTTGCTCACCCTAAATCCTAATCTGCTACTTTTCACACCCTGCCGCCAGCATCATAGGAGGTGAGCCTTTCTTCAGTGCGGCCAGGCCTGAGCGGGCACCTTTCCTCCGGCATGCTGCAACCCCTGCAGCTTGCTGAGCTCTTCTGCTCTCTCAGAGCAACACTCCAGCCAGACACATCTACAGTACAAATGCTCTTCCAGATAAAACCGAACTGACAGGGAAGAAAACCCCTCTTAATAGGTGCTAAACCCCATTTACTTCCATTGCCATGCAATCTTACCAGTTCTACCCCATCTCTCAGGAGAAGTTAGTGTTTTATTTTGATTGTTTGTTGTATGCATTAATGAGAACAAACAGCCTGGCCAAGCTGAATACCAGCTTTGTCAGGGCAATAATTCTTTGTACTGCCAAACCAAATAGAAAGCTGCTCTAGTTGTTTTCCTCCCTATTGTATGCTACTGAAATATCCAAGATAGTCTTTAACTATAGCTATAATCTGCCCATTTTTCTTCCAGCAAAGATACAAGCAATTCTGAGTAGCCTCTCCTGTAGCTACGCAATGCTTTAAGCTTCAGGTCGGAGCAGATAAGGCAATATACATAAATGTAATTTTTTTCAGTGTGAAGAATTCATGCAGCTTAACACAGTCTATTCAGTTTAACAATATAGTTTGGATTAATGGATCTCACTGGCAATTTCACAAAACATATTTCTCATTTGCTTAACGCGAGTGTGACAAAAAGCAGGTATTCTGATGTTAGGAGGTGATGCAGAATGCAGTTCACTGGGCTAGCAGCTCACACCAGCAGGGAAGCCTTACCCTGGAGATAGTCAGAGGCATGTTGAAGTCCTTTCCCCCCTGCAGGCGGAAGCCCCATGGTGCTGGTCCACTGAGATTTACGGTGTAAGTGCTCATCTTCCAAAAGTTCTTCTCACTCAACGTCTTTTAGTTTTGATCGTTGGGAATTGGGCAGTGAGCCGCCAGGCAGCAGCAGATAAAACAAGAAACCCAAAAAAGGCAAAAAAAAAAACTTATATTGAACTTATATTGAAAAATACACCAATGAATTCTTCAAAAATAAAAATGCTTCATGAAACAAGGGTTTCAAAAAATGAGGTTCAAGGTGCTAATTGTGCCCACCTTTTCTTAAAGGCATAAAATGAAAGACAGAAAGCAAAAGGACGAGAGGTCTTGTCTGCTCAGATGGGCTGGATCGACCGCCTAAGAATAGCACCCCTCAACAGAAAGTGATAGCACCCCACCACTTGTGGGGCCTTATATGGCATGTAAGAAGACACCCAGAATGCTAAGCCTCCATGATTCAAATAGCTAATATAGCCTCCTTCTAGGCCAACAGATTTTTCTAGTCTACCCCAGGTTCCGCCCACCACTTTCCAGCACCCCATATGGGGGGTCCTCAGAATGAGCTTGATTAGAGCTAATTAGCCACCATGCTGCTGCACCAGTGTGCTGGTGACTGGATTTGTGGGTGGCATTCCAGAACAGGATTCTCAAACAACATAAGACATCATTAGATGCAGGTACCTGAGCAACGGGGAAAATAAAATCTCAGAAATCCAAAGATGAAAAAGAATAAAAAACAAAAATAAAATGGTTGGAGCCTGTGTGAATGCTTCACAAACATTCATTCATTGATTCAGTCATCTCCTATTCCGCTTGTCCTATGCAGGGTTGCATGGGTCCACAGAACATTAACACACTGACCATTAGCTGGCACACATCTGACCCAACAGATCCTCATCTGCGTGTATTTTAATCATCAACATGACTGGAAACAGCTAGTGACATCGTGACATTTAATTTGGCTTCGTTTATTCCCGGAAAAATAGACCATTATATTTAATTTTAGTTAAGTTGTGCCCCCCCACCCAAATATCAAACTCCATCCCATGCCATTGGCTTTCCTTATATTCAAATGTGGGACTTCCTAGCTCATTCAATCCGTCACCCTAAGCTGGCCCCCCAGGGTAAAGACTCATATCACCTGTAAAACTGACCGAGAGTTGGCTGATCACACCCATAGGTCAGCGGTCATTTACCGGCACAATTCAGGCCAGGTCATCCTAGGCTCAGCCTGGTCCAGGCTGCTCCAGAAATAGCCGGTTCTGCCTGGCCCACTTACGATGAGCACGGCCCCTTCAGTGATAAAGACAACTCTCACACACTACCACACAGCCAGGAGCCTGTGACAAGAGCCAGGAAATAATCATTAACCAGGGAGGCAACAGAGCCCTAAACTGGGAAATGTCAAATCTAAGAACAGCTTTCTTTATCAGTGGAAATAGGTGGAAAGTTTGTGCCTTTCTTGGAACTGCTGGTGTTTAAGGAAGTAAAATGCTAAACAGCTAGTGCAACACACGCATCACATACTTTATAACATCACATGGTAGGGAGGATTCGGAGCCCCCACTCACACAGGAGGGACAAGGATTGTAATTTGCAAATGGAAGTGCAGATGGGTGGAACAAAGGTAGCTAGGGGTAATATCAGTGCTGGGTCCTATAACCAAAATAGGCATTAGGTCATAGAACTGCTAAAACTGCATTATTGGACCCAGAGGCATCATGCATTTACTGCAGCTTTGATGCAAGAAACAATTATTGGAAAGCAGAACCTTGTCAGCTAAGACAGTAGGGTTACCCCCTCCTCCAGGTTGCCCATATCACCACAATTATATTACACACCCTTTCCCCTTGTCAAAATATGCCAATTTCTTTCAAGCTACTCAGTATATGTGTTCATCTGAAAAATATGGCTAAGTATTTGACTTCCCGGACATTCCCTAAACCAATTAATAAAACACAGACAGACTGTGCTGAAATCAGCGGTGAGAATCAATTTTCAAATGGAAACCCACTTAAGAACTCAGCTAGTAGTTCTGACCAATTCACACTTGTCTCATCAGACCAGTTTGACTAACCTGTGCCTCATAAAGAAGGTGGCACTTAATCACAGGTGACCTTCTGGAGGACTCTCCCAAAAGGGTGATGGCTCCTGATCTTCAGACTAATGCATACAACAAACTTGAACAAATACTTACCATTGATTTTAGCCAAATGGACTAGGGTGTCTAGTAGCTGTAGTGACATCTGTCCTCCAATCAGTAGTCTCCTATGTAGCAAGAGTTTGGGGGCAATCTGGCCATCACCCAAATTTGGAGGTTTATTTTCTTGTATCTTTGGCACTTTAATTACTACCATATAGATGAAATTGTAAGAAGATCCAAATGAAAGTAAAAGAATTAAATCCAAGTATGATAAGATTTGAAGCAAAACAAATGGACACTTCAGCCAAATAATCAAAAGCAACCTTGAACAAACGTGTTTATGACTCATCTAACAAGGAGTAGTGGGGCTTTTTTCTGACTCAAGTCAAATCTGTTTGCCAAGAACAGCAGCAGAAGAAAAGGACCTCAGGGTGAATTTGACAGGGCCTCCTGGAGACCTGCAGCATGTTCTTTAATGTGCTGCGACTGAGAAAATGACTGAATTAATTGACTCAGGTATCATTAGTGTGTTCAGTTTGCAGATTTCCCTGCTGGAATACATCTTAATCAGCTAATGACCAGGGCCGGTATGCATAAAACTTCTCAGAGTGAAATTTTACTCTTAAATGCGTCACAATCCTAAGAGTGACGTGATTTTGCTCCTACTCCCAGACTTAAGAATAAGTGGCATGCATAAACATTCTTAAGTGTTAAGAGTAGGTCTCAGCTCCTAAATTATTTAAGAGAGCTGGAAAGGACTCCAAAACCAGTTAGGAGTTGCACGATGGCAGCAGCACTGGGCGCACGAAGACGGA